CCCACCCCCCCACCTCCTCTGTGTTGCTGGAAGCAGAGCTGTTCCACTGCTGGGTGCGGCACTGCAGAAGCCCTTCAGGGAGTACTTGGAGGCCCAGAAGGCCAAGCTTCACCATCTCCGTGGAGAGGGGATCCCGACTGTAAGTACAGGGCCTCAGCCCCCGGTCACAGCCTCTATTCATTCACGTGTGCGCGCCAAGACAAGAATGCGGCCCCCTTACTTCTGCCTCTCGTACTGCTTCTCCCTCCACTTTTTTTTTTTTTTTTTGTGTGTGTTCCTTTCTTCTCTTTATCTGAGCCTCCTTTTATGTCCCTGACCCATTTTCTCTCATGCTCACAATTAATTCTCTTTTCACCTGCTTTACCTGCGCTGCTTGTTTTTCTTTTTACAACACATAATATATATATTTGTGTGTATCTATATTTTTATTTTTTTAAATCTCATGATAGGAGTAATGTTGATGTTGAAGTGTTCCTCGGCTCTGGAGCGATACAGTAAATTACAGAGGCTTGTTTAGGGCCAGAATGACAGAGTGGGTTAGCTGCACTGGGCGGGCTGGGGGAGGAGGTGGAGGAGGTGGAGGAGGAGGAGAGGGGCCGGTGTGGGGTCTGGCTTCACTGTACTACTGTAGCGTGGGGCGTGCTGACTCATGCTCCATCTTACCAATTGGGAGAGTGTGTGTGAGTGTGGTCACTCCCCTATGTGTCACACACACACACACACACTTGCACTCAGTGCCCCGCCTGAACCCAGCACTAACTGTAGACCGGGCGGCCCCCCTCCGCCGCTGACAATCCATCAAAACCCCCCATCTAGAACAAAAAGAGCCAGTTGTAGCTGTAGCCTGGTTCTCTTTCAGAGCTGCTTCCCTCCTCTCCGTCTCACTCCCTCTTTTTCTCTCTTGTTCTGAGTGATTCATTGAAAACTATTTTTCTTTTTTTATGCGCTTACTAGGAAGGAGAAGAAAGAAAAAAAAAAGGATAGACTTTGAGTTGCACAAGGACAGATTAAGGCATTTCTAGAACAATGTTCCTTTTTTCTGGTAACTTGAGCCTCCAGCAGTTACAGGAGAGAAGCGAGGCAGTTTAACTTGGTGGAGGCAGGCTGCAGGCTGGGGTCAGTGGGGGCGTTGGGAGGAGGACGGTGGGGGCTGCCGCGTGTTTTATTACCCCTGATCTCTATCTGTCCTGCACATGGAGCTGGATCCCCACCTAGCCTCCAGCATCAGGAGGGTGTGGGGTGGAGGGGTGGCCCTCGGCTCACCGACTCAGCTCCTCTTCTTCTGTGTCTCTGTTCTCTCTGTGGTTCCTGGCAGGAGGAGAACTGGCTGTCGTGGCTCTTTGAGAAGGTTGTGGTCATCATGGTATGCTTCTTTGTCTGCTCCATTGTCAACTCCATGGCTCAGAGCTACGCCAAGCGCAAGCAGCAGGAGAAGTACTCGGAGAGCAAGACGGAGTGAAGGACAGCTCCGGATCACGCTGGACCATCAGCTTCAGAAGCTTCCCGCCGCTCCTGTCCTCATCTCCTGGCTGATACCCCCCCACACTATCTGAAGCACAGTGTCGGCCCCATCTGGTTTCTCTCCTGTTGTTGTAGCAGCATGTTTATGTTGAACTTGGACTTCCACTTACTTGTTTTTGAAGGCTTTGCATTTGGTAGTGATTGTTCCCTGTAAGGTAGGTGTTCGCTGGGGTGAGTGTGTGCGAGCTGTCGTGTTGTTAAAGTGGAGCTTTCAGCAGCTCCTGAGCACACGAGAAGAAGCTGCTGGCAATAAGTGTCCTCAGTAGAGCCTTAAGCTGCACTGTCTGTGTCACTAGAACCACCTTAAAGCCTCCATAGAGTCACTGTATGTGAATAAGCTAGGAGTGTTTAATGTTGTACAACCAGCGCAGTTATTCGTTCAATAACTTATTTATTTATGATCTACACTTGCCGGGTTAATAATAAGACGTTGTGTATTAATGATGTACTGTAGGGTTGCTGTCCTGTGGTTAGATAAGACTGTAACCGGACTTTAAATACCCGTGTTCTGCTCAGAGCCGGGTCACTTCTCCACACGGTAGAGCTCAGCTGTAGTAGAGATGTTAGCGAGTGCTGCCGACTGTACGTGGTGCTCAGGACCGCCACTTCTTTTGTGTGTGCCGTAGAGCTCGTCGTAGCACTTTGGGATGAGAAATGATAAATCGGCCATGAATCACCCCGCTGGTCCCTTTGTCTGCCCTTATTGTTCTGCTTCCAGGAAGAGAGCGCATGAGTCAGCCCGGGGCTACTTTACCAGATGCAGCCGTGTATTGAATCAGATCCACAACTGAGTGTGTGTGAGACGGAGAGCGAGACGCAGATAGTAGGTTGTGTGGCCGCCACATTTGTTGCTCTCCCTTTTATCTTTTATGGATTAAAGCAGATTGTGCTCCACTAATAGACTCTGCCTGGAAGTGTTAGTGGCAGATAGCAGCCTCTAACTCCGAGGCATGTCATGATGAGTGTTCTTTGTCTTCACTTGTCCACGGAGCTTTTTTCTTTTTTTTTTTATCCTTTTTTCCCCAGACGAGGACAGCGAGCTCATGTTTGACTTTACAACATTTTACCTGCTTGATCAATTCTAATTTTTTTCCTTTTTTTTGCTGGATAACGTCAGCTGGCTCTCCGTATGTGCAACTACCTTCCTTTTTTTTTCCATAATTGCCAGTGAAATGTGCTATTTTCTTCCTCCTCTGTACCGCTGCTGTGCTACGCTGGACTGAGCGCAGTGGGCGCTAGAGCAGGCACAAGCGGCAGAGGGAAAAAAAAAAAAAAAAAAAAGCCTCAAGCGAGCGCACAGTGAAAAGCGTCTGTGCCGTTACCTCAGCTGAACCTTCGAATGAACTCGTTGCACTGCCCCAGTCACGGAGCCAGGAGACGAATCACTCGAGTAGATTCAAAACAGAGGGGTACTGTTGAGCGGGCTGAACCCTGCGCTCTGCACCAGCTCTAGTCAGAACATTCACATCTCCTCTTTTCTCCTGTCATGGTAAGTAGGATTAGGATTCTGTTTTTTTTTTTTTTTTCTTTTTTTTTTTTTTTTTCTCTTCTGCCATTGTTGTCGTTTCTGTACATGCGTATGTCTCAGGCATGTCCGTCACTCTCTCGGCCTGTCAGATAGCTTATCAGACTGGTGTTGGCTGTTAAGATTGCAAGGCGACAACAGTCTGTAGGCTGTCTGACATTTCGGGCTCTTTCATCTGACCAGCATCCTGTTTTGTCCTCCTTCTGTTACTGTCATTGTTTCAGTTAGCATCAGTTCCCATTTAGAGGTGTGTGCGCTGCGATGTCACTTCCCTTTATCCCAACCGCTTGTGAAACGTCGGAGACATGGGCCTATTGTTTATTTCCGCCACGCTGACGTCTGTGAGGGTTTATGTGGGTTTATGTGAGGAACTGTGCTCTCGCATGTTTGCAGATGTAGTGATGTCAGTAGTGTACTTCTGTATATACGTGTGTGTGTGAGAGAGAGTTGGCTGTGTGCTCTTGAATTTCCAGAGAATCCAGACAGCACACACCTTATTGCAACACATCACATTGTGACAGCCAGTCCTAGGTATGGTACACGCAGTGCTCACCAGCTCTCCCCTTCCCTTTTACACTTCCCTCTTCTGCTGAACTGAGGACTTTCTTCTGTTGCTCAACACGCACTCTTTCTGTCGGAGCCTGCGTTTTATTGGATCAACTCTCTTGAGAGGGTGTTTTTCTAAGGGCCACAAATTGGTAATTATACAATGCTGAAAATCATTGCTTGACCAGTGGGTGCTTTCACCACAAAGCCTCAGATTTTATTTTAGTTCCTTCTTTCTGTAGAATAGAGCAAAAAGGGTCAAACTTTTTTCCCGGTCACTAAAGCAGAATCAGTGGAATGGCTCGCTGGCTTAAAGAGTGTTTTTCTTGGCAGTTTCAGGATGTCCTGTTCCATAAGGGGGACCCCTTTTGGCACGACTGTGTGGATGTGAGAGCGCATGCTTGTCTAGAAACTCTGTTTATGTTTCTGTGTGTAAGTGCCTGTGTTTCTTGTCTGTACCTGGGTTATTTTAAAAGTCCACGCACTGTACGATTTCTCTGCTTTCACTATAAATAAAGTGTGTTGAAAAGAGGATTGGTGTTGTGTGCTTTATGTGATCAGTCCTGACCACACCGGGTCCGTGTTGACCCTCAAGCCTCCAAAGAATCTCACATGTCAGCCAAGAAAGAGGGACAAGGAGGATACCGAGTCCATCACAACTCCGATTTCCCCGGCTAACGTTTCACATCCAAACACTTATCACATTACTGATTTGCCCTCTGCGCGCTGACATCATCTCCACTTCAGATTCCACGTCAGGCCGTCGCTGTGATGCTACACAAACTGTACTCTGTGTCCTACATTTGCTAAACAGTTAATAATCACGTCAAACACTAACTGCTGATCTTGTGGATCTGATGCAGGTTTGGCCGACTTATATATGAAGACTTTTTATTTCCTATTCTCTGAGATTAACTCTGATCAAATTACATCACAAGCATTTAAAAACCCTCCACACTTGAAGCAACCAGTGAGCTTCATGTATACAACACACGCTTGTTTACGCAGGTTTGACGTGATGCTGGTTTTGCAGACGTCACATCGTCGCTGTGTGTCGGTGAGGAGACAAAAGGAAAGCGGGACGCTGGCACCGGTGCGTGAACACAGTGTGATCTTGTGTCTTGAGGTCAGACGTGTAACCTGTGTGCTGTTCCCAGAGCAGCAGCCACACCCAGAGAGCACCATGAAGACGAGTGTTTCCACCCCGGCCGCCCCGCCCCGCCCTGCCCCGGGGCTCCGGCTCAAAACCCAACATGCAAATCCTGCCTGTCTAAACAGGCTGGGGGACTGATATTCAAATAATGACACAGCTTTTGTCCTTCGCCTCTTTCTCTCTCTGATCTCTCCATATGCTCTACATATACTGCAGTTAAATCCGGTGGTGCCGGTTTAATTTCTGGCACAGCCGCCCACCCACTCACCCACCCACCACCTCCTCCTCCACCTCCTCCTCCTGCTGCCTCGCTGTCTCTCACTCCTTCCTGTCAGCAGCCTAACCACCGAGGGATGCTGAAATATCCCTGACTTCATCCACCACCCACAGGCCCACTCTGCATTTGGTTATCCACTTAGTTCCTTTCACACTCTGTCTCATTAAATTATGCTGACCGTGTGGATTTCTTTTCTTTCCATTTTTTTTTATTTATTTTTTTTTTTCCCCATTTTTCAAAATCACATTAAGGTCCATTGTTTTTGTGAGCAGCGGTCGGGAGGTCGTGTCAGAGCGGCGAGCACATGGTTCAGACGGAGATGCTGCTCAGCAAAGCAAAGTTAATTCATCCGGTTAAGAAGCTGTCGGCGTCACAGCTCTGCTCCCCGAATCAAGACGAGGACACACAGAAAGGAGTTTGTGACATCACAGCTGGTGTTGTAGGCCAATCATGATCCAATATGGAGTTTAAACACATGTGTGATGTGAAGCTGGAGAGCACAGACACAGAGAATGAACCTTTAGAGAACGTAGGAGGCAATTCGTATCTAGTGGGTAAACTCCTGACATAAAACATCAACGATACGATCAGCAGTGTTCAGTCAGGTACACAGGTAATCCAACCTGTCTGTAGAAAACTCCTGTTATTAATTCAAGTATTTTGTTATGTCCAAACCATTTATTATTACTATTGTTGTTGAATATTTACTGTTGTTGCTGATGTTGTGTTGTTTTTCTAGTATGACAATTTCCCTGAGGTTTACACCAAAGGGATCAATAAAGTTTTATTCTATTTCTATTTCTATTTAAATGGCAGTAACTGAAGCAGGATTTGACATGAAACACAGCTGAGTTAGTTTGATTGACTTCATGGCCACAGTGGAGACGGTGTGCCTTCTGATTCTGATTTTTTAAAGATTAGATTCGATGCTGTTTGGCTGAATAATGGTTCATGTTCACTTCACAAAGTGTTCTTCAGCGGCACAGTTAAATGTTAGGTTACAAAATGATCAAATTTTAATAACTTAAAAACGAAGGCAAAGATAAAACAGGACAAACCCAGTAGAACCTCCTGCTTAAAGTCTGAACTACATACAGGTCATATTCGTGTTTATAATGCAGCATTCTCCTTCGGTCATACACACAGTTTATATGAGCACGTAGATCATGAGTGCGGTCGGAGCGAAGCCCCTGCTCCAGAAGCCTTTGTGTCCTTTGTTGTGGCTTCTGCATGCCAACATCAAACCGGCTTATCAGACTCCTCATAACTCATCCATCTGAGAGATATTACTGCTCTCATTTGAGTTTCATCACGTCGTCTGTTCAGAGCGACCGAGTGTCTAACTGAACTTATCCACAGGAAGTTGGCGTCTCTTCTTGATGATTTACTTATTTTTTTTATTTAACAAATATTTAAACACTCAAGCCGTTACCAGGTAAAGATGCTCCACGTTTGTCAGACTGAATTTTGTCACAGCAGCACAACATGTATCCGAGCTGAACTAAATGATGTGTGGGTATTTTAACAGAGCATAGTTTGGCACAAGCATCTGCTGTTCCTGCCCACACGGTGCCAACATGGCAGACAGCTTCATGGCCGATGCCAGGTGGCAGCGTCCGGGCAGCGTGACGAAACACACACATCCTCCACCTGCCTGGTCCTCCGCCTGCAGCTCCACTCACTGGTTCTTGTATATTTTACAATTTTGATGTTATTACTTTTTATGTTTAGTTTTTACAATACAAACAATTTAAATGATTATTATTTGAAGTTCAAAACTCTCAGTGAACCGTGCCAGCAGCTAAACCTTGTGTCCATAATTGTCTCGGTGTGGTTCAGCGCTGCGCACACAAACGCACGACTCGTGTTACTTGGTGGATCAAAGGCAGCAAATCCTTTTCTGTTTATGCGACTGCGTGTCGTAACAAGACGGAGACGAGTCGTCTTAAACCTGAATAATGGCTCGTCATGCTTCTTTATGTCCCGCGAGAAAGGACCTGCGTCATTCAGGTGTGCCGTACGTGAAATCAGGAATCACAATAAGGCAGTGCATGCCTGAGAGCAGAGTGGGCGTAAAATGGTTGAAATGTACGTCCAACACACACACACACCGTTTGAAACAACACACACGCCTTTGATGTGAGAATCACTGAGTCAGCCTTTGGAATGCCTGAAATCCGACGGTGAGGACTCTCCACCGCCGATCGTGTCCTCAGGTGCTGAAGCGCAGCAGCTTTACGTGTCATGTCATGCATCTGTGTCATGACATGATGCCATCGCAGAACAATTACCCAGAAATGTCTCACGCTGCCTTCCAAGCATTCCTGACAATGTGTGGTCTGTGCTTTCCATTGAAGATTGGGCAACACCAGAACGAACCGGAAAAACCGCCGATAGCTGCTTCGAATAAAGACTTTTGAGAACATCTTGATTTATTAACCGCTAATTATTGCAAATTGCCACGCTCCAGGTTCAGCTGAATGGAGCCGCAAATGTCAACCTGCTGGTGGCACTAAAAGAAGACAAGGCATCGCTAAGCGTCTGGAGACCGCAACACCTTTATCTGTCTGTGGCCATCTATTCAGCTGTTCATACCAGAAATCACTCCTGAATGGAGACACGACTTTGCTGTTCCAACCCAAGCAGCAGCCTCCGGTACCGCGGCACGGCGCCAGCTCTGAGGTGCCAATAACTGCGGTTCAAAAGCGAGTCAACCCCCACAAACCCCCAGGATGCAGCCTGCCGGAGCCACAACACTGAGGCTGACTCTGCACGTGCTCGGGCATCCTTTTAAAATTGGGGATTTTCCTACTCTGGCCTAAACAAAAAAAAAATCTCCACAATGTTCCCAAGAAAGTGTCCATGGAGGTGCAGCATGCAAGACGACAGGAGGCAACACAACCCTGAACGTTACGGCATGTTGGCCAATTAGAAGCCTGAAGAAAGCTGTTAGCGGTCCTGGTACCTCCACCTGCCAATGGCTGTAGCAGACTTCCTGTTTAAATCCATGTGATTTCATGTAAACATCTATAAGCAACTTAATGTGGGAAACACGGTATTATTGATGAACATGTGCTGTTTTGGCCTCGTGCTGACGTCTCCTAGGAAACAGAGAAACAACAAGAAGCACATAAACTTTTTAAATGTCGTCACTGTGAGGTTGTTTGGTAAGCCTAGCGTGTTAGCATACTAGCTTTGGTAAATGTCAGGTTGTACTTTGGGATGGATGAAGTTAACTTTATCTCATCTGAACAAAGTTGTCTCTTCTTTTTAAAGCCTTTGTGCCTCGTGGTGTGGGACTGTCTGTGATGGTTTCCGTATAAAGGTCAGTGAGGCTGGGGATTACTGCGGCGCTACCATCATAACTCAATGAACGCCAGTGAAAGTGGAAACACATGATTCTTGTACTAACGCTGACAAAGAACCAGAGACTCTCATCAGCACTGACACAGATCTGCTGTTTCAGATCGACTCAGTGCTGCCTCACACTCATTCAGAACCAAAAGAAACTTCTCTAAAGATTCGACGTCGAGTTTTTAATGTCCAGCAAAACATAAAGAGAAATCTGTCGACACCACGGTGTCCTCTGTGCTCGCATCTAAACCACATGACGTTACTCTCGCCGACGTACGCGCTCAGCCTTTATGGCATCGCAATCAGAGCTAATTTTAGTCTCGTCCACATACTCTGCATGAGGCCTGTTTACCGCATGCAGTGTGGTTGGATGCAGCGCGCCCATCAACGTGCTACAAACAACCACAGAGAGCAAACAAAACCAGACGCACCGATGCCAGGCTGCACAACAAACGCGCTGTGCTCATCTGGAATGGCTTTTCTGCTGTGATATTCCACCAGAGGACTTTCCTGCTCTGACAGCCTCACCTGAGCCTCCACATATTTATAGTCCCTCCGTCACAGCTTCGATGCTGCTCCGTCATCACCACCCCCGTCCGTCGCCTCTCCACCCACTGCACGGCTTTTCAAAACTAAAAACTTCTGTTCAAGATAACAAGACTTTAGAAGTCTAACCTGAGCTGTAGGATTTGGTTCAGACATCATCAGCCCATTAAATGACCCGATCACAGAGCATGTCGTTCTACTC